ACGCAGATGACACAATTGTCTTTGCGGATAGCCTTGAGAAACTGCAAGAGCTTATGCTGAGAGTCACACAGGTCAGCCAGCAATATGGGCTAAATATTAATGTAGACAAAACCAAATTAATGATTATTAGTAAACATAATATCCCGTATGACCATTTTAACATCAACGGGAATCATATTGAGAGAGTCCACAAGTACGTATATCTTGGTACCAATATCAATGACCAGTGGGATCACTCGCAGGAGATCAGATGTCGAATAGAGAAGGCCAGAGCCGTCTTGAACGGAATGACCAGCGTCCCTAATGAGCCACGATCTGAGAATGGACATCAAGATAAGGTTCCTGAGGTGTTATGTGTTCTCGGTTCTCTACTATGGGGTTGAGTCGTGGACCTTGACCGAGGCGACGGAGAAGAACTGGAGGCCCCTGAGATGTGGCTCTACCGCAGAATGCTGCGAGTGTCCTGGGCGCAAAAAGTGACCAACGTAGAGATCCTGGGTCGGATGGGCAAAGAGAAAGAGGTGCTCAGAACTGTCAAGCGCCGTAAGCTTCAATACCTGGGTCACATCATGCGAAACGAAACAAGATACCAATTGCTACAGTGTATTCTCCAGGGCAAGGTCCATGGCAAAAGAGGAATTGGCAAGAGACGGATATCGTGGCTGAAGAATTTGAGGACGTGGTTTGGAAGGTCGACCTCAGGACTGTTCAGGGCGGCAGTTAACAAAGTTGATAGCCCAGATGATAGCCAACATCCGGGCCGGATAGGCACAATAAGAAGAAGAAACATTTCATTAGTGTAGAAGTTTTGTAGCTCATGTGTATAAAATGCTTACGTCTCCCAAATCAGATTACTTGCATGAATAATACAAGACCTTTTGAGCTAGGATTGAAAGCCTAGAAAAAAAGAAATCCTTACGACTGCAAATTATGGTAATACGTACGCTCAGCTAAGGTAGACAGCAAAAATTGCGTCTAGCAGTAAGTGCCGGATTTTGCAACAGATGGCACTTCAATATGTTCGATAAGGACATTCCACGGGTTTGAGTAAGACAAAAGAGATTGTAAGTTCATTTAGAGATACCACTGACACCGAAGAGTCTGTTTTATCGAGCTCGTGCAAATTTTTCCGAACTTCCAGCCTTAAGGCGATGCTGGAAGATCGGCCAAATTTGTACGAGGTCGATAAAGCAGTTTAATCAATTCATGACGATATTTGGTTAATATGAAAATTCTACAGTTTATATGTGCAAATTGAAGGTATGCCACCCCACGGACAATACAAAAGAACAACACTGAATTATTAGAATTAGAATAAAAGCCTATAAAAAGTTTTTTACTTTTAAAGAATTCATGTAGATTTGCACATCTGCATGAAATCTTTAAAAGTGAATAACTTTTTTTATAGACTTTTATCCTAATTTTAACAATTTAGTGTTGTTCTTTTTTATTGTCCGCAGGGTGCCCTACTTTCAATTTGCACATAAACTGTAGAATTTTCATATTAATTAAATGTCATGAAATTGAACAGATTGCTTTATCGACTTCGTACAAATATCACTAAATATGGCCGACTTTCCAGCATCGCCTTAATGAAGAAATATTTTAATTATAGTGTTTTAAAAAGCTCTCTCGAGATAAGCTACAAGAATATGCAATGAAAAAAACCATTACAAAAATTTAAAGTGATCTTTCTCTGACCTTGACAACGACGCCACCCAAGGTCAAACCAATGGTACCATTTTATGTCTTCTTTGAAGTCAACTTTTCTTTGAAACATTTTTTCGATCATAGTTTTCGAGAAATCTTAATGAATCCTTTAAAATGGCACACTCTGTATGTATATAGCTTTCATAGACAGAGATAAAATTTCAAGTTACTTGTCTTTTGAAACACGCGGGAAATGCTTTTTATTTTTGAAATATAAGTTTAAAATATTGAAATATAAACAAACTGATAGAGAGAAAGAGAAAGAAAGAAAAACAGAAATAAATTTCAAAAAAAGTCTTACAAAAATAAGAAAAAGTATACAGGATGTCCCATAAAAATCGTATGTCCTTTCACTGTCAGATTCTGGGCAGGATTCTAAAACGAAAATTCTTATACGAAAATATCGAGGCTATAACACTTTTCAAATTATAAACGAATAAAGTTCTCCAATTGTGGCGTCTGAAATTCGCGCGCTCATGCATGGTACATTGCACACACGATTGCGGGGTACCCTTAATTGTCCATTGATTTACATTTAAATATTGACATAATTGATGCGCTTATCGCAAAAATATCTAACTGCCGAAATTGAGTTTCTTATTTTAAAGCATTCATGATTTTATAAGTTAATAACGCTTTAAAGTTTGAAAACCGAATTTTGGCAGTTAGGTTACTTTTGCGGTAAGCGTCGCAATTTTTCATATAATGACAAAGAGATCGCTTTTAAGCTTTATCTCATTTGTGGTTGTTTTTAATATCAGTATAATAT